TTGGTTTGGGAATGATAACCAGCCCTTGGGCCTTGGGTTTGGGAATGATCACCTGCCTTGGGGTCTTTGGTTTGAAATGCCATAAGCTCTCCCTACTCTTTGCCTGCAGATAGAGAAGAAGAAGAAGGAAAAGCCACGTGCAACCATCACCAAACCAGTGGGGGGAGACAAGAATGGAGGCAGCCGGGTGGTGAAAATCCGGAAAATGGTATGGAAAAGCACTGGGATGCTCAGGGGTTGGTGCTGGGCTGGATGGCTTTGGAGTGGGGACAGTGTAGGGGCCTCAGCCTGTGCCATGCTTCAGTGAACTGTTGGGAGTTGTCTCCTTGAGGTACAGACCCAGTTCTTGGGAGATGGTGGGATTTTGTGGAATGGCTGTAGGCCAGAGAGGTTCTGTGCCGTGGTGTAGTTGACCTGGTGTTAGGTCATGGGTTGGATTTGATGATCTCAGAGGTCTTTTCCAGCCTGCTTGACTGTGTATTGCTGTGCTGAGGTGGGAGCACACCCAGAAATACAGACTTGGCCTCAGCTTTCCCTGTGTGTAATTGTCCAGGGAACAACAACTCAGTGTGTTCCCAGGCTGCAGCAGAAACAAACCCTTCAGAAAGGTCATCTTTAGGGAAATAGTATTTGTTGGGAAAGGCAGAAGTTTGGTGAGAGTTTTCTGCTCTGTGGAATCTCCCTGGCAGGAGGTGCAGCCAGGTGGGGTCAGACTCTTCTCCCAGGATGAGAGGACACAGTGTCAAGCTGTGCCAGGTGAGGTTCAGCTTGGACATCAGGAGCAGTTTCTCCATGGAAAAGGCTGTCAGGCACTGGAGCTGCTCAGGTTGCTGGTGGAGTCACCACCCCTGGAGGTGTCCAGGGAGAGACTGCACATGGCACTGAGCGCCGTGGCCTAGTTGCTATGGTGGTGTTAGCTCACAGGTTGGACTCGATGATCCCAGAGCTCCTTCCCAAGCGGGTTGGTTCTGTGGAATGCAGGTGGTACAACCTCCTGCCCCTCTCCTTGCAGCCCAGGTACTACCCCACCGAGGACGTCCCGCGGAAGCTGCTGAGCCACGGCAAGAAGCCGTTCTGCGAGCACAAGCGGCGGCTGAGAGCCTCCATCACCCCTGGGACTGTGCTCATCCTGCTCACCGGGCGCCACAGGGGCAAGGTGAGCTGCTCCTGCCTCCCTGGCACCTCCAGGTGCTGACACAGCCTCAGTTTGCCAGCTGGTTCCATGGGCTCAGCCACTGGTTGCAGATCTGGGGCTGCTGAGCAGATGGTTTCCTTGCCCAGCCATTCAGGGGAAGCAGACATTAAATGTTTCTTGAATTAACATCTGATGTTGTGCACAGAGCTGGAAGTAACACAGGCTAGTGGAGGTGCTCAGACAGAATTGAAGGAGTCAGGACAGGCCCACAGACTCCTCTGCTCCTCAGAGCAGACCCAGTGCCTGTCTCTACTGCTGGGGGAAGGTGTCCCTGCCCATGGCAGGAGCTGGAACAAGATGATTCCTAAAATCCGTTCCAACCCAAACCAGATTGCACAATTCAGTGGTTCTATCTATGGACATGTCTCTTCCCTGCAGACTTGGGGGAGGAGTAGCTATTGCAAAGGAAGAGTTGCATTTTAATTCTTACTCTAATTAGCAAGGCAACAGTTGATGGAATGTAACCACATTGTGTTACTCAGCTTAATGATGGTCACTAACCGTCTTACCTGATATCTTTTAGTTTCTTGAATTTTTTGGCTTTGATGTCATATTGTGTAAGGAAATTCAGTTCAGAGGAAGAAAACTTGACCAGAAGGAGTAAAACACAGCTTGAGGGTGGATTGTTCTGACCATGTGAGGTCCTTCTGGGGTTTAAGTCCTGCCTTGAAGTCATACAAGGAATTGGGCTGATGGGACAGTTGGAATTGCATAGGATTGCAATCCCACTGGTTGGCTTTGCTCAGCCTTGGGAGAGTCACACTCCCCATAGAGGAGGTACCTGGCAGAGCTGTGCCCATGGAAGTGCTGTAGGTTGGCTCATGGGGTGGCAGCTCCTCAGTTGCACCTCTACACCCACACCTGGGTGCACCTGCAGTGCCTGTACCAGAGCCCCAGTGTGGGCACAGTCCCAGTTTGGTGTCACAGTGCTGGACCTGGAGGCTGATGTCACTTCTCATTTCCTTGCAGCGGGTTGTCTTCCTGAAGCAGCTTGATACTGGTCTTCTGCTTGTGACAGGTACAGCTATACCCCGGTGTGACTTTGGTTTGGTTTGGGGTCCTGGGGAGTCTGGAGTGAGTTTTGAAGTTCAGCCCTGGGGTCAGTGGTGTGACAGATCTGCCTGTGGGTGGTTTTGGCACATCATGTGTTACAACGTGGAATCACATTCTGTAGCTTTCCAAGGGGGTGGAGGGAAGATGATTAAGCTGCGGTATCTGCCTGGAAGAGATCAGGAGGCATTTTGGCATTTCTAGAGCCTGTGGGGAAGAGCTTTGTGCTAAGCCTTTAGCTGGAGGCAGCTCTGAACAAACAAGTCACCTCCTACACTGCCAGGAAGGCTGATGATGTTCCTCTGCCTCTAGGCCCTCTGGTTGTCAACCGTGTCCCCCTGCGTAGGGCCCATCAGAAGTTTGTCATTGCCACATCCACAAAGGTGGATCTCACGGGAGTGAGAATTCCCAAACATCTCACCGACTCCTACTTCAAGAAGAAGAGGCTGAGGAAGCCCAAGCACCAGGAAGGAGAAATCTTTGACACTGAAAAAGAAGTAAGGAGCATGGTTCATTCTTTGGCAGTGCCCTGGGGACTCCAGGCCAGGCTCCAAGGCGGGAAAAGCAGGGAAAAACAGTTGGATTTTAAGTCGATAAAGTGATGCTATGAAAGTGGATTAGTACAATAGCATTGAGGCAAACCCTGTTAAATTTGGGGGTGATTCTCTGTGCCTCAGCAGGAGTGATTACTCCAGCTCAATGGCTTTGCTTTTGCCTGAGGAACACCTTTCCTGCTGGATCCTGCCAGGAGTGTGACACAGGCCAGGAGGTGGCTCAGTGCTCTGTCCCCTCTCTTCTCTCACCACCTTCCCCTTGTCCAGAGCCAGTGGAGGAAAGGTCTCTTGAAAATGCCCTAGCTCAGGGTGTGCCCTGGATTTTCTCAGCTCCAGAGAAGGATGTTAACCTGACACTCTGTGCTTTGCAGAAGTATGAGCTGACGGAGCAGCGCAAGGCAGACCAGAAGGCAGTGGATTCCCAGATCCTGGCCCGGATCAGGAAGGTGCCTCAGCTCCGTGGGTACCTGCGCTCCACGTTCTGTCTCTCCAACGGAGTCTATCCCCACAAGTTGGTGTTCTAACTCTTCAGAAAGCACCACATTAAATTCCAAGGGAAAAATAAACCCTGAGGATTTCTGGTGTGTCTTCATTGCAGCCTGTGACAGACCTGTTGTACGAGGCATGGTTGGACTGATGGAATAATGTGGCATGGAATTCTGAGTGTAATGGCTAGAGTTTGGGGTGTAGGAGTTAGGGTTGGTTGGTTCTTTGGTTTGGGTTTGTGGTGGTTGTTGGATTTTTAGAGGAATTCAGCTTCCTAACTTGGAATGAGTCCGGGAGGGATCCTGGCTGGGTTTTGTTTTGGGAGTAGCAGGTAAGTGCTGGGCAGTGCAGACCAAACCCAGCCCAAGGGCTGTGCCAGCAGGTTTCTCCCTACCCATGCTGTGCTGGAACCTCTTCCAGGTGTCTCCTGTGGGGAATCAGCTCTGGGTAACAAACCCCTGCAGGTCCCTCCTTGTCACACCTTGTGTACACCTGTTGAGATGGTGTTTGCCAAACAGCTTTGATCCATGAACCACCACATGAATCTCAGCAAAACACAACTTTCTGGAGGCATTTCAGGAGATGAGCCTTGGATTTTCAGGTGGAAACACTGGGAATGCTCTAGAGTTTTGTAGGGTAATTTATTCCTGGAGCCATAACAAAATTGGGAATGTATGTCCCTTGTTTATCCTGGTGGGCTGGAATGCTCCTAGTTGGAGGAATCCCACCTGCTGTGACCAGAAGGGAAACACATAATCTGTGATCCTGTAGGGGTGGCAATGGATGAAAAAACAAGCTGTTTGTGGGAAAGAGAAGTGTTTTTCTATCCTGGGACACTTAGGGAGTCTCAGTAATTTTTCTTGTCTCAAATACTTGCTGAAAGGGAGTTGAGAAGGTTAGTCCTGTGTGTTTCCTTTATCTGTTAGAGTTAGCAGAGATCTGGCAGAGGTGCTTGGGGAGCTCTGCTCTGACAACAACCAGGGACATTTCCAGCTCTGGCACACTTGAGCTCTTTCCCAGCCAGACTTAGGCAGGACTCAAGGCTTACATAAGTGCACCATCTGCCTGCCCAGTGCTTCTGAGCTGACAGGAGCCAGTGGGTCACACTTGAGGAACAGATTTCATCAGTTCATGGAAAGAAGCTAGGAAAGGGAGCGATCCAAGCCCCTGTGGGGTGGAAGCCTATGTGTCACGTACCAGCCATGCTGGTTGGGAAAGGGCTTTGCTCCAGAGGCAGTGAAATGCCTTGGACACCTGCAGAACACCTGACTGGGTTCTCTTCTCCAGGCTGGACACCCCCAGCTCTCCCAGCCTGCTAATTCAGGAGGAAGAAGGGAAGGGACCAGGGCTGTTACTTCCTGCTGTATCCAGATGCACCAACCACCAGGATGGTGTGAGCAGTCTCCAGGGAGACCTTAGAGCCTCTTCCAGTGCCTGAAGGCTCCAGGAGAGCTGCAGAGGGATGTGGAACAAGAAGCTGGAGGGACAGGCCAAGGGGAATGGCTTTAAGCTGAAGGAAGGTAGATTTACATTGGATATTGGGAAGAAATTCTTCCCTGTGAGGTGCTGAGGCACTGGCACAGGTTGCCCAGAGCAGCTGTGGCTGCTCCAACCCTGGGAGTGTTCCAGGCCAGGTTGGATGGGGCTTGGAGCACCCTGGGCTGGTGGGAGGTGTCCCTGCCCATGGCAGTGGTG